ACAAGAGTTTTTATGCACTGCTTAATGGCTTCTTGAACTCATTCACCATTCATAAAAGAATCTCTCCACTTTGAGTGCAACTTGAGATGAAGCAATAGAAGGAATTTGACCACATGACACATTATTGAATAGCCACAAACTTGTTGTCTTTTAGGTTATGTTTAGATTAAAAATTTCAAAAGGGATTTGCAGAGAAAAAAAAATGAAAAAAGAAAAATCAATGAAATGTGTGTTAAATTTTTATCACATTTTTTATTTCCTCTACCTTTACCTTCCTCAAATCTTAAATGCAAAGGCTGCCACCATGAACAAGGGGTGAAAAACCCATGAATGGCTAAGAAAAAACAACAAAGGTCCACCGTTTGATGCTTCCCATTGCTTGCTTGATGTAGAGCACATGGATAAAGTTTCAACATTGCAATAGCCGTAGCAATGAAAAAAAATGACATTATTTTTGTGGAAAAAAATTGACATTATTTTTTTCTGTTCATATTAAGGGTGGATAAGCATCCATCTGATTCGTTAAAATCCAATGGCCCAAATCAATCCGCTACAAAATGGATGGTTTCAATGGTCCGAGTGGATAGATACGGATGCATTTTTCTCAATCTGTCTAAGTTCGAATGGATGGCGGATGAGAGGTCACCCGATCCAACTCAATCCGCCAACACTCCTAAGAAAATGAAATTATGCTTTGTGTGTTAAAAAAATGATCTTATATTTGCTATTTATGAAATATAAAAGTTAAGCCTTAATTTGTATTATAAAAAATGAACAATAAAAAATTTTGCGCGTAAAATGTAAACAATTAACAGTAAAACCCAAACCGCCAAACCAATCCATACCAATCCATATTCACCATCCAATTGGCACATCCCACTCAATCCGCATCCGCTAACTATGTGGACGGATGCGGATTGATTTTTGCCAATCCGCTTAAGTTCGAACGGATGGCGGATAAGAGGCCAGCTGACCCAACTCAATTTGCGAGCACCCTTAGTTTATATAACTAAAGAATAATTGATGGAAAATGACGCAATTATGCTTGACTTGTTTTGATCACACCGTCTTTTGAAAATTTAATTCAAAGACATGCATTTGATAAGAAAAAAAAAAAGAAAAGAAAAGAAAAAAAGTTAACACAAGAAAGGTCTATCACTCATCACTATTACTCTTTCTGTACGAAATAAAGAAGTGCCAGAAAAAAGAAATTTAAATAAGAAAAAACTAAACAAAGAAGAAATGAAAAGAGATTCAATAAGTGAGAAAAAAAAAGGAGGGAAAAATGTTGGAATTTTAATAAAAATAAAATTAATTATTTCTATTTAATTTGTTTAACCGTTATTAACATTTATGTAATGATTAAATATTATGTATTAATTCTCATATGATTTTCACTTATAAATATTCCTATCTTTTCTAAAGATGGAGGATACATACTAATCACAAGAAGACATATGCATATGAGATATTTAGTTTTAACATGAGAGTACTTTATCTATTTTATGTATTTATGGGCAACTATGATTCGTGACTCGTTCATATCATCCTGATGGATAAAAATATCGGATGAGGAAGGCTGTGAGCGCTTAGGTTATATCTTGGAGTTGTTGCACTCCGTTTGTACCTTCACGTGATGGTTTTAGGACAGTGACTATACGCCTCTCAATATCACAGGCCAACTCTTTCTTACTCTTTGTGAATTTACTTACTTTCATATTTTATTTATCGTAAATCTCTTAATCATTTTATTAATTAAATTATATTAATAAATAATATTTTTCCAATAAAAAACACATGGTCAACAAATGCTTCTCCAAATTAAACTCGTGAGTCAAAATTGGATAATTCTATTTCCATGCAGTAAGTTTCCTCAATGCACATACTTAATGATTACTTTTTCAATACACACATCAAAAAAAAAAAAAAAACTCAATATACATCTCTTTATTTCAATAACATCATCTTCAATTTTCAAAGCCTTAATTTTTATTCCATCCACCCACCATTCCCTCATTCGACGTTGTTGTCGCCACTCTCAACCATCCACTGCTATCACAACGGTTACTCCCAACTCATCCCCTTCCATCCTAGAGCACCACAGTAAATCTTAAAAGTGAGTAGTTTGTGACAAGGGATTTGTGGGATTGTATGGTTCATGGTAGAAAATAGTCGCATGTAGATTAGAAAAGAGGTGACATAACAGAAGGGAATGGTGGAGGAGAGAGGTAGCGTTGGTGATAGAAGATGGTTGTAGTGTTTTAATTAGGATTTGGGTGAAAGAATATAAGGTTATTATGGTATTTTGATTCTAGAACAAAATTGTATTAAGAAAAAAATTCATTGAGTGTGTGAACAAAGAGAAATTGATGTGTGGAAATAGAATTACTTGTCAAAACTCCATCCATCACTTGTGTGAGGCAAGATTTCACACTTGAACTTTAAAAAAAAAAAATTAAAAAAATTATTTTTTATTTGTTTCTTGGATTATGTACTAAGGTTGATAAACTAATTTTGAATTATACATAAATTGAAGGGGAAATTACTTCAGTGAGAATAACAATTCTATGTTACAAAACAGTAGGAAAAGATTGAGAATTGTGGCAGCGATGGAGAGTAGGAAATTTACTTCCAACCCATGATTTTCTGATATTGAATTTGCCCTTACACCTAAAAACGACGTCGTTTAGAAATCTCTTTTTCCCCTTTCCAACCTAGCCAGCCTTAGCACTGTAGTACACTCCCAAACTACTCTCTCACTCTTTGCTCTACCTCTCTCTCGTTTTCCCGCGCGATTCCTTCCTTCATTCCTCTACTCTCTCTCATTGTAATAGTTCTTTATGAAGTGCTTGTTCATTGTAATGTTTGTGGACTTCTTAGAACTATTGCTTTGCTCTAAAAGGTCATATTCATTTTTTTTTTTTTTTTTTTTTTTTTTTTTGAATGCATGACTTTTTTTACTCACAGAAAATTAAAAAAATTTAAAAAACCCAATAGCCCTTGTACAAGCAACATACCATTCCCCACCAACAATGTGTATTCTAACCTCATTAGCTTATTTTCAGATAATTGGGGATCTTTCGTCTGCCTCGAAATTTTGAAGCTTCGTCGATAAAAAAATTATGACTAGCTATGGCAGATAATTTGAAACTTAAAGCTTCATTTACATTTTGACTTGTATCTTCAAACATGAAAATAAACTTTCAAATTCCTGGAAGAATTCGACAAATGGCTTTTTACTTCATATCCATTGACATTTTTTTTTTTTAAACCCTTGGCTTTCAAATTCCTGTTTGGGAAGTAGTTGAGTCCATGAAAATTGTAGACCAAATCCAATTCCCAAACACCACTGCTTGGATGAACAATTTTCTCAACCACCCAGTGATCAAGGACAAGTTACCTCCCAGAGATAAGATAGTCATTTATTTCCAAAAGTGCAGCAAAGAAATTGCATCCCTCATGACCGCTATCAGAAAAGGCTGATTAAAAATTTTAGCATTTATAGTTGTTTTTTTCCTTTGTTCTCTTGTTGAAGAAGAGAAAAAATGTTAAAAATACTCTGGAATACATAACTAGCTAGTAATTAGTTATTTACCTAATGGTATGGATTATTGGCAATTTAATAAAACAGTAGTGTGTTTGGCTATGCTCTCTCAATTGTATATTTTCTGATATAGATAGTTTGAATTGCATATTTTCTTATGCAATATCCATAGACAAAGATTTTTTTTTTTTACTGATGAATAAAAGCATGAGAATACTGATGTGTTATAGTTATTCAATATCCCTCAATAGGGGCAAGTTTCCCTTCCAATTCTAATTCCAATTCTCTATTCTCCCGGAGGGATGGGCGGCAAGTCAAGATCCCAACACCACCAGGCTATCTCACTCCAGCAAGAATTGTTTTATAATAATAAATTTTGGTTCCCGAATTTATTACGTAATTCAAGCCAGAGATACCATGTAAAAGCATTAAAAGTTTTGTGCTTATTAGTATCGAAGATCATAATCATGAGATTGTAGCTTATTAAAATACTTACTGTTTCTTCTTGAATTCAACCAAAAAAGGGATAATTTACCTAAGAAAAATGAACCGAAGGGATATGAAATTTGTGAAGATCCTCTCCTTCTTTGTCGTTGACAATTCGAAGCCGGTCTTTGAATGCTTCAGGCATCTCCGTAATATCCAATTCCTGGAGGGTAGTGATGAATCTCAATCCATCTGGAAGCATCTTCAAATTATTCCAAGTTCCAATGCTTAGAAAAGAAAGAGTAGGCATGGCTCCTTCTTCCATCATCCATTCCCCAATTTCTAGAGAATGGAGTCCCAGACGCTCGAGCTGAGGAAAACCATTGGTTGAGAAAACCAAATGATCCTTTCCTGCAAAGGCATCAACTAAGATGAGAATCCTTAAGTTAGGCATCTGCTCCAGTGTTGCCATTGGATCTTCCTTAAGTTGTGAACTGGACAGGGATAAACTGGCAAGGCCTCAATAAAAATTGCTGTTGTATTCTGGTAGCTCATCTATAATCCCAATTATTGTCAATCCAACAAGGCAATCACAACTAAATAGTTGTCTCAGAAGGCTTAGTTCTTCATCTGAACAAAAATCACATTGATCCATAAAAATGGAAGTGTGCTGTAGTTTCTTGCTATTAAGGAGGTAGTTGACGACCTCTGGCAAGTTCTTTTGTTTTCCTTGTATGCGCACTTCTCCTAGCCTTCGGAGGTTGGTTAATTCGAAGAGACCTTTAACATCAACCTTATCCGGGGCAAAGTTTTCTAGCGTCTCTAGGTTGCTCAAGCCATCCACTCTCAGTTTGCCTTCTGTAGAAAATAGATGGTAATAAGGAAGATAAAGATGTACCAAACTTTCCATCTTCCATAGCACATTTGGCACACTGATCTCATCTGTGGTTCGCAAATCATGGGTTTGTAAGTATTTCAGGTTGCCTGTTTATGATGGCAACTTTGTGAATCCAGTATCTTTTAAACCCAAATACCGCAAAAAGATTAGGTTTCCTATTTCTTTTGGTAACTCTTTTGGTTTTCCATCAGTAAAGTCGCCTGATTTTTTTCCATGGAAATGTATCACTCTGAGACATTTGGAATTTTTGCACAAATGGATCAATTGTTCTCCAAATGGATAGTTAATGTAGCTACAGATGAAGAATAAAATTGCCCGAATAGGTCGAGCTATTTCTTCTTGTTTGAAGTCGAAGAGGGGAAGGTCACTATTCTCATCTAGATAGATAGCAAGTCTGCGATTTTATTGCTATTGCTACCATCAGTTGATGTTGCCAAGGATGAAAAAGATGGATGCACTTCTTGATTATGCATGCCCCTATAATCAATGGTTTTAAAAAAGCTTTCCTCCCGTACTTTTAACATACATAAATCTAGCATGAGGCCATGAAGTCGACAACTTTTAAACCTTTTGCTTTCTGTAATTGTTGAATACTCAACCTTTTGCTTTCTGTAGTTGTTGAATACTCAACCTTCTCCTTAAATTCCACTTGAACCATACACCTCTCTGCTAATACACCCAAATAACGTTCTGCAACATCCATCATTGTTTCTTCTTCTCCTCTTTCCTCACGGGATATGATGCCTTCAGCCATCCACAATTGATATAGTATGTCTACTTCTATGTCAAGTTCATTTGCATAAATGCCCAGACAAAGAAAACATGTCTTTAGCTGATATGATAAATCTTGGTAACTTAGAGCTAACACATCCAATAAAAAATTACCATATCCACCGATCCGGAACTCTCTCTTTCGATATTTTTGATAAATTGTCTGCCACTCATTCAAGGTCTTCTTTTTTCCTAGAAGTCCTCCGAGTTCTACAACGGCTAGTGGCAAGCCCCCGCAATGTTGAACCATTTTCCTTCCTAACTTCTCCATCATTGGATAGTCTTCGAAGTCTACAATGAAACAAAGTGCATATTTAACAAAGTGTGGTAGTTTGGCTTATGCAATCTAAAGAGTTTGCAAAATGTTTTACACCACCAAAGACCTCTCATATGAGAGTTATGATTTTGCTTTTCCTCTGAGATTGTTGGAAATGAGGGTCAAAACTTAATAACATATTTATTTAAATGACAAATTAAAAAATCTAAAATACATGAAAGCTTTTAGCAATTGTAAAAGATAAAATTTATCAACATAGATGTGTATTCATTATTCTCAAGAATTTACTAATTCTTTGATAAAATTAAAGATTTTGTTTTGTGCTAAATTAAACTAAAAAATTAAGAATTGTGATTGATATTTTACTGAAGATAAAATGAGTAATGGAATTCATGTTCCATTTTAAGTCCTACCCCCTCAATTTTTTAAATTGTTAGGCTACGTTTGGGAACCAAACATTTTAGCTAAAAAACTAAAAAGAAACTACAAGTAGTCAAACCATTCTCTCTATTTTTTATATATCCTTCTGTGAAAAGCCAAAAATCATTATTGAAAAGGTAATTTCCAAACGAACCCTTAATCTCTCAAAAGAAAAGAAAGTGAGAGACTAAATCTAGAGAGTGAATATCATTACTCTAATAAAAAGGTGATGGTTCTATTCTACTTAAAAAGCGAAGTAGGATAGCATATTATAGTACAAATCTAGTAATGAATTGTAGAGTTAGTTGATAAATGTCTGAAGTTTCAGGATAAGCTAACCTTTAGCCACCGTTTTGGGGAAAGCCTTTCTTGCAAATAGCTCCCAGCTCTCCACTTCGTTTAAAAGGTTTCGCTGTAAGATGAAACAATTTTGATACCCTGGTACATTTGCTTTACGTGTAGTAAGGATTATTTTCGTATTTACACCAGAAAAAACTCGTGACAACTCATCAAATCCTTCCGAAGACCAAACGTCATCAAGAACAACCAAACACTTTTTCTGTTGTTGGACTTCATCGAGTTGTTTGCGGGCTAACCTATCATTTTCCATATTCACAATCTCATCCTTCTTCCCTGGAATGAGTTGAATTAGGATGTTATGCAAAACATCTTTCAGCTTCCATTGTTGAGATATGAAAGCCCAAGCGAAGGCATCAAAATGGCGCCTAACATCTGTGTGTTGGTAAACCTTCCTAGCAAGGTAGTCTTCCCAACACCACCCATGCCCCAAATCAAAACAACCTTACAGTGTTCGGCTTCTTCACTCACCAATTGCGCTGCTAATACCTCTATGTCTTGCTCAATACCAATAAAATATTCGTCACCAACTTGAGAAAAAGTCTGCTCTAGGTGTCGAGAAGTTGCACTTCCAATTTCCATCAAAGCTCTTAGACCCAAGCTTGGTAAATTTGCATGAAGCCTTTGAATAGTTACAATCTGAGACCTAATCTTGTACAAAGTTATAACTTCACTGAAGATGCTAGCACTTCTCTTGAGAATGTGTATGATGCCTCGTCTTCCCCTCGGCTCAAATTTAAATACAAAAGTTTCAATCACATCCTCTGCATTATAAGCAACATCTCTTATTTCCACCACCAATTTACTAATGCTCTTGTGTTCATCTTGTCTTGCATCTGCATCTTTTAAAAAGGGCCTCATACCCCTTAACTCTGCCAACATACCTCGAACTTGGCTACGCACTCCATATAATAAATTTGCTTTGTGAATCAGCAAATCCTCAATTCTTTCCACCGCAAAAGAGACTACAGCCTCAGCCATTTTTCTTCGGCCTCAATTCACGAACAGCTTATGAGTTATCTGATCAATACAAGTAACACCTATGAAGCACGGATACGGACACGGATACGGACACAAACACGGACACGGGACACGACAATTTTCAAAAAATGGGGACACGGACACGGCGGGGGACACGGCGAATTTTATTTTATTTATTTTATATATTTTTATGTGTTATGTAGATTCATATGACATTCATCCTAAATTAAAATTAACAAACACTAACATAGTAACATTAATTGAATAAACATAACAATTATATTTAAATAAATTAATAGATCATCCATTCATAAAAAATTCACAAAAAAGTCATAACAAACGATAACAAGAACTAAGATGAGAAGGGGAAAACATTCAACATCCAACAATATTTTTCACAAAAGCACTAAATAAGAGAGGCAAAAGATTAAAATAAAAAATAAAAAAAAATAGCCCTATCGTGTCCCCGCCATGTCCCCATATGGACACGCGTGTCCCCGTCGTGTCCTTGCCGTGTCCCCTATAAAAAAAAATCATTAAATTAAAGGAACATGCCTTTTGGCGTGTCCCGTATGTGTCCCCGGTGTGTCCCCGTGTTAGACACCACCATGGCACTAATTTTGGAGTGTCCATGCTTCATAACTAATTAAAGTCAATTGTATGAAATGAACAAATTTCATGAAAAAATAATATTTAATGCAAGAACAAAGATTTGTATGAAAAGTTGAAACATATCCTCTACGCTTTAAAAACGTCGTAAAATTAGTATAGGCGGCGTTTATAAAAACGCCGCTAAATGTCGCAGCCAACGGTAACATGACGTCACACAGACATTCAGCGACGCTTCAAAAACGTCGTAAAAGCTTTTTTATTATTTTAAAAATATAACTATAGTGACGTTTGGAAAAACGCCGCAATAGATTTTTTTTCCTTTTTTTTTTTAAACTACTAATTTTGTAAGATTTAACTTTAAAAATATACCTGTAAAATAACAATAATGAATAAAACTTTGTACAGACATATTTCTGTGAGATAATTATTCCCTCACATCTATAATAGTACCCAATACAACATCTTTCAAGAAAAAAATCCAATAAGTTTAAATCCATGCAGTAACTGATCCATTCCTAAATAAATTAACACTCACTCTACCGTAGTTTTAAGTGTTGATTCTTGATGAATCCATGCCATTTGGAAAAGTACGCAAGAAACAGTGGTGAGGACAGTCCATGATATTGATTACCAAAAAATTATAAAGAAGATAAACATGGACATTACATTGCACATGCTCACAAAATATACAATGGTGACACAATATTTAAAATTTTAAATAAAAAAAAAACCCCATTTTTTTTTTTATTCTATTTTGTGTTTTGGGGGTTCATGGCTCTTTGACTGCTGTGAAGTTCCAACATCTCATGGTTTGGGTCAACAGAGACAGCAACTCGATAGTCTCGCAAGGCACCCATAACATCACCGATATGCTCGTGAAATGCTACCCTCAAGTGTAGCAGGTTGAGGTCCGCTTTGAATAACACAGAGCACGACATCTCAACCTTTGGATATCAACAGGTAGATCATTATTTGCAAGTCTGGAATCTGATTACCTTAACAGCTGATAGCATTAAAGAACCTTTTGCAAGCTCAGCTGCTATACATGAAGCCAAAATGCAGCCAGTTCCATGAGTATTCCGAGTTCTTATGCGTGGTGAACGCAGCTCATAGAAATTATCTCCTAGAAGATCAAATCAAGAAATCAAATTAGCAAAAGACACCGCCTAGAGATACACACAGTTACAACTCAAAAACCCCAATGAATACATTAAGCATACCATCAAAGAAAATATCAACAGCATCCAATGAAGAAGCGAGGTCACCTCCTTTGACAAGTACATTTCTGAAAACAAAAACAAAGCTGTTACGAATTATAATTCTTCTTGTCTAGTCTTTGTAAAACAAATCTGCTCTAAGAAATAAAAGAGCAAGCCCATATGTACACATTGACATATTTTCTTTGATAAGTACATTTCAGTAAATTCAACGCTAAAGTGACAAGTACATTTCAGTAAATTCAACGCTAAAGTGACTTGGTGCCAAACAACAAGGTGTCGAAATATAATTTTTCCTACTTTTGGAGGGATTGCGGAAAAGTTTGGCAGCTTCTGATAAGCCTAACTCAAAAAGAATAAAAACTCAAATGCAAAGCACTAACCGTGGACCCATGTCATGGATAGATTTTGCAGCAGAACGTATGTCGCTGACTGTTTCCAATTGAACACCACCAAGTAAAGCAGATGCTTCTTTTAAATTTGGAGTTACAATGTCAGCCATGGGAAAAAGATACTCCCTGCAATCAGAAATCAAAACAAACAAACAAAAACAAAAATCAGATAGATTTCCCACAAGAGTACCATGGTCTTTCCGAAGATTTTCCACCACATCATTGTATTAATAAGAGAAAATGAAAATGTACCTAATTTATTATTAGATATAAAAAACCCTTTTTCCATTACCAACACCCACTTAGTCCTCCCCATGATCTTTACCAAACAGTTTAAAATTGAACTATGGCTTCAAGCTGCAGAAGGCTATATAAAGAAAAGCTTCTTCCCTAAATCCTTGAGGCCGACTGTCAACCTTATCTGTCCTAAGAATGACCTTCTCAACAAATGTTTTTCAATACAAAACCATACCCAGTATAAAAAGGATTATTGTCCCAAATAGTCAAATGATGCAAGAAGAACCACTTCCCACACTCACAATCCTAATAGCAGCTTCAACCACTCGGAGGGCTAACATGGGACTCCACACTCATAATCCCTACAGCTCTAGCAATGATGAAACTTGAAAGGGTGGAAAAAATTGCCTCTTAAAAATCATTAATGTACATGGACAACTATTTTTCCATCAACCTTGACATAGTTTAAAGTGCATCCAATCAACATAATTCTATTCTTGCTTCCCTGAATATGGTAACTACTTTCTGATCATCAAATTGGATATAAAGAAAAAAGGCATACACAAGGAATCGGTTAGCGAGTCACATAGAAGTAAGCAAAACAAGTTGATGGAACTACAAAATTTAAGCATGCAAATAACCATAAATGTACTTGAATATACAAGCATACCGAAATCCAGCAATGAATTAAAGAAAAAATGGGACTGCCAATGATTAACAGTATACAGCTGATGAAGGAACAGAAAGCAAACAAATCAAGATTAGTGAGTTAACTTCCTATCACTTTATATCCATTAAATGCACAATGTACAAAAAGTACGCAGACAATTGAAGTCAACAGCACTTCATTTAGAACATCACTAGAAAAAGCAACCCCAGACTTACAGCTCTATTCTGAGCAGCAATTCCACTGATGAGAACATTTGTTTGAACTCCATCGATTTTGCAATAGGCCTAACAACACAGAACAGTGCATAATATTTGCATCATAATAGAACAAGGAGATGCAACAGAAATACAGGGAAAAAATTATAACGCACCTCAGTGCCGCAACAAGCCCTGCAAGAACCACAGCTGCTGTCCCCTGCAAAAGTGGGGAAAAAAAAAGTTAAGACAAGAACATGGGATTCCTCAAGGTTATTTGAACGACGACCATATTATCACATACCTGTATATCATCATTGAAGACAAGATGAGTAGTACTATATTTCGCTAGCAGCTCAAAAGCATTGTGGTTTGCAAAATCTTCAAACTGTAAAGCATTGGTAGCAAATCAAACCAACATTAGAACTGCAAGAACAAGATCAGGCCCTGAAAATTATGGATGCAGAAAACAACCTGCCATCATTTGTTAATACTAGTGTTAAATCCCAACAAATAGTGCTTGTCATTTGGCTAAAATTCTTCTGTTTTAATTTTATTCTTTGCCTGAAATTCTTAACGACGTAATTGAGCAATCTTACTCTGGCATTCTTGTAGATCCCCATAGGTTTGTACTTGGTCTTCAGATAACATGGAAGAAGAGCAGTGTGCCAATCATTGGCAATGAAGACAACATCCTCCCCTGCATTTCTACGAGACAGATATGTTACACCATTTATAATAGAATGCAAAATAAATAGACACCCGATTTTACAGGCCCTCCTTTATTACTCGCAGGCTGAGAAAACATATAAACCCAACAATAGAACAAAAAGATGAAAAAAAAGTTATCTAACACAATATGCATAAAACAGGACATGCTAAGAAAAAATTATAAGAAAATACTCACAACAGCCTGAACAGGTTTCTTCCCACTAAGCTGCTTACTGCTGATTTTTTGACAAATGATCCTTCATAAGCCTGCAAAAAGATTAACGTGTACATCATATTGAGAAGCTAGATAAACATGTCGAAATGACTCCTTGGAGGCCTAAATTCATAAGATTTAAATTTCACATGCATTTATTCAAATATTAAATTGATTACTATGCCACGCTTCATTTTACCATCATGAAAATAGAATTGATGATACTACATGATGAAGATTTATATTCCATGAGATGAATCAAAAACCAAGGCATAAATCAAGGAAATGACACGAAGCACGAACTTTAAGGGTCTAGCAACTGAATATTGAGCCTAAGGCTTGCAACACCATGAGACATAAAATTTGCATTGAGCTTTGATTTTGTCTTCTCTCATATATAGCACTAATAGCACATTATATTTCTTTTCACAAAAAAGAGACAAATTTTACTATGAAAACCGAAGGAATCTACCTTGACCATGGATAATAGTTCAGCTCAAGGCAACTCTGGCATCATGGTTAATAAATCAGGATATGAGAATGGTGAGAGAGTCTAGTAGATTGAATCGTATCGGATCAAGAATCATAAGATTATACTTTTATAACAATGAAAAAAGGTAAAAATACCAACAAGGATGATGCATAATAAAGATGAGGTGAAAAATCACCAACCCAAAGATCCTAACTGCAATCCTACAAGATCCTACTTACAATCCAGCTATAGTATACCAATTTTAAAAGGCAAGAATAAACTCACCGCTGCAGAAGAAATGCTTCCACTAGAAGTTTGAACTGTAACTAGCATATCATAATTATTATCAGCAAAGAGAAAACCTCAAAGAATGTATCATTTTTTCAGGAGAAAAATTGTAACAAATTTAAAACAATAAAAAAATTCAAACCTGAGATTAAACCAACTGAACCAGCTCCAGAACCCCCAATCATTTCTGAAAGCTTCTTTTTTCTAACGTCATCCAGTTTCTCCAACGATTTTTCTAAAGGCCTCATGCCAACCAACTAGAATAGAAAGAAAAATGAATAAACAATAATTAGTGCAACAGAAGTAACTAGCAAATCTTGGTCTATTTCTTTCACAAGTTTGGGGAAAAAAATAAGAATCAAGTTTTACTAGGAAGACATGATATAGTTGAGTAGCAATATGATTGAAAGGAATACCTTAGCCACTGCTGCCAAAGGCTGCATCCCTCACTTCTGGAGTCCCATCATTGAGGCACTAAAAGAATTTGATTTAACATAAAATTTAAACAATATCAGCATTATATATGTACACACACACACACACACAATAATAATAATAATAATAAGTATACGAATTCCAGATGATATATGTACACGCACACCTGGGACTCCTCTAAACTGCCTGAGCCCAGCACAAAATGAAACAGCCTGCGCAAAAAGATAAGCTTAAAAAGTAAATACAAAAGAATAAAAAAACAAATCAACTAGAATAAGTTGACACTTATTATTATTATTACTTTTTTATGACAGTCCATCACTTTTCAATTTTCTTTCAGAAGTCTAGTTACCTGGAAAATTTGATACAAAACCACCTCTGTCCTCGATATATGTCCTTTCCTTTCTAGGCTCATAATCAACTGACAATTGTTTGGCCACACCATTCTTGCAGACGACAGCCCTTGAATCTCCAACATTAGCTACCACCAGCTTCTGAAAATCAATTAAGATTGCTGTAACTGCAGTTGAACCCCTTTTACCCAACTCTAATGATTTGTCCAAAATAGAAGTATCAGTTGTGATCCAATAGAACAGAAGGACTCCACTGAAGTAAAGCTAATACCAAATTAAATTCATAGAATTTTTTTTTTAATTTTTATACTTCATTTTCAGCATCCAACATAGGGAAAATGAAAAGAAAATCACACAAAATTGAAAAAATTGTAAAATTAACCAGTGGATTGATGTTAATGGTGGCTTGCGATTAGCTTGCTGAAGCTGAGGCAGATGCAGAGGCAAGAGAGAGCATCGTCGAAGCCATCTGAATCAGAAAAGACGATGAAACGATGAGATCAATTTGAAACACTTAAAATTAGTTAAAAAAAATCAAGTAGTGATATTCGAGAGAAGTAGAACTTTGTTGAGTCTAAATTCGAATCGGTAATCGATGTAAAAAAACAAGAGTAAGAACACAAAAACAAACCTCAAAAAAGTAATGAAGTTGTGTTCAGATCTAGAAACAAAACAACCAAAAATAGAAAACCAACCTTGCCTTTCAAATAAAATTGATAATTCAAACAAAAACGAGAACAAATCATTGTTTTCTTCGTAGATCTATAGATACACATACTTATGAGGCAGAGAGAGTGAGAGATGCACCATATCTACCAAAAAAAATTGAAGGAAATGATAGACCTGTTGTGAACGAAGCTTCAGATCTCAAATCGGCCAAAAAAAAAATATATGAAGAAGATGAAGAATCAAACCCATAGACTTCATGATCTGTGTGTGTGTGTGTGTGTGAAAAATGATAGATCTACATTACTTTCTCTTTACTTTGTCTTCCTTTTTCTTTCTAATTTAAATTTTGGGCTGGTTGTAAAGAAGGGGTATAATCCCACCGACGAACACCTCATTCTCCATGTCTTTCCCTTGCATTTTTTATTCTTTCCCTCCAACAACAACAACAACACCACCACCACCACCACCACCACCACTATGTATATATATAGGAGAGAATTGCCTGCTCACTGTCGATCTCTAGGACAGTTTGTCAATTTGTTCAACCGTCTCAGTATATGTTGAAGTTATTAGAGAAAAACAATAGAAACCCAAGTGATAAAAACTACAAATAAGCTTGAATCATTGCCAATCTTTTTTGTTGAGAGGCATTGTAATTAATTTACTAAATTTGTTTCTTTGAACATCAATTATGGTTTCATTTCAGCGGTCAAGGGAGAGGGTGAGGGTGAGGGTGAGGGTGAGGGTGAAGGTGAAGGTGGGTGGTGAAAGCCACATAAAGTGTAGCATTTGCAGATGTGTTGATTTGGAGGATGAGGATGGCATTTGCATTCCTGTGGCATTGCCTGTGCTCCCATGTCCAGACCGCACCAGTAACTATGGGGTAAAGGAGATTCGGAAACAATTAACAAAAGTGTTCATTTATTAACTTTATTAAAAATGAATAGTAATGAAAGCACTTTTTCTTTTTTCTTTTTTTTTCAAAGAAGACATTGAATTGATGAGAATTTTGAGGAAGATAACACAACTCTTATTACTATTAATCATTTTTGGCACTAACACTTATTTGTATCCTTATGAATAAAGGCGGCTATGGTAATCTCTTCACAAAGAGACTACAATTTACATTTTTCTATCAGACACGTAAAGAAGCAAAGCAGAGGATACACAAATTGTTCAAATATCAATATCTATTACTGTCTGTAAAAAAAATTATGCAAGCAATTGAATTAAGCTAGATTTTTTCTCAATATGATGAATACAAAATCACAATCCATTCCAAGATATGATGAACTGTTCTATATTTTAGAATTCAAAATAATAATAATAATAATGTAACCAAATATTCTACCTAAATATCTAAGCTACACTGATTGATCAATCCAAACTGATGCTAATTTAGGGTAATAAAAAAACAGAGATTAAAATTCAACATGCTAGGAAAATTCAACATGCTAATTTAGGGAAAAAAAACAAGCGAATCTGAAGCGATGGTGCTCACCTTGGTAGATGATGGTGCTCACTTTCCTCGCTGAACGAATCTGAGATTGAATCACCGAGCTTTGAAATCGAGAGAGAACTTCGAAATCGCCGAACGAATCTGAGATTGAATCACCGAGCTGAAGAAGGTTGAACTTCAAAATCACGTTCAATCGATCAATAGATCTTCAATCGATCGATCTGATCTAGATAAAACCTAGCAAACCTGAATCGAATGATTCCATCAGTAAGTATCATCTTCAATCGAACGTGACTGTGAGAAGATAGAGATAAGACTGATCAACACTTACCATGAAGAAAGACCTGCGAACTCGAACATGAACTAGAGATAGAGATAAGACTGATCTGCGAATCGATGATCTATGAATACTTCAATCGAATAAACGAAGAGGTGAATCGAATACTTGAAGAGAAGGGTTGCAGATTAATCGATTACTAAATGAAGGGGTTTGAATCGAGAGAAACGAAAGGGTTTGAAGCAAGAGTGAGTGAAATCACGGGTGTAGTGAATCTTCTTTGATTTAAGCTTCGATGGATCTGAATCAAGTTTTGTTCAGATCGGGGCTTCGATCTGAATCTTTTTTGATTTAAGCTTCGATGGAGCTTCGATGGAGAGGGTTGAGAGAGAGAGATCTGTGCGCATGTATTAAGGGTTGAGAGATCTGTGCGTATGTAGGCTCTGATTCAAAATAAGGTTTTCACAGAAAGGGGCGCGTGTGGGTCACCACATTCGGAGGCGTTTTTAAACGCCTCCTATTATAAAACGGTGTCGTTTTGTTTAATAGAATATGCAGCGTTTATAAAACACCGTTAAATACTAATAACAGTGACGTTTACAGAAACGTCGTTAAAAAAACGCCACCAAATCCCCCTTTTCCTGTAGTGCTTGCATCTGCATCTTTTAAAAAGGGCCTCATACCCCTTAACTCTGCCAACATACCTCGAACTTGGCTACGCACTCCATATAATAAATTTGCTTTGTGAATCAGCAAATCCTCAATTCTTTCCCCCGCAAAAGAGACAACAGACTCAGCCATTTTTCTTCGGCCTCAATTCACGAACAGCTTATGAGTTATCTGATCAATACAAGTAACACTTTCTAACTTGGTTAATAGAAGCACCCACTATTAAAACTTTTTTTTTTTTCTTTTTCTTTTTTTCCATCAATAAAAAAGAAATTTATTGTTGCAAAGCAGAGTACAAGGAGTACACAAAAATACATCAATAGAAAAGGAAGCTACGGCAACCAGCATCAATACTTAAAGGCCCCAACAAGGTTCACACATGTGTCAAATAAAAAAAATAAAATTATCAATAAAATAAAATTTATTGATGAATTATGTAATACAAGCGATAAAACAAATTACATCTAAGAGAATAATGAGAGAAAAAAACAAAATTATGTAAAAAGCAGATCCTAATTAGATTGCAACATGCAACATGCAACAAGCCAATTAAATGATAATCTCAAACCAGGCACGACAAATAAAACTTAATTGGTAATAAACAAATAAAAACACCTTCTTGTAATACTTAAATAATGCTTAATTAAAAATTAGTCTTTGGTTTAATTAGTGCTTAATTAAAAATTAGTCTTTGGTTTAATTAGGGTAGGCGATAACTTCGGTGGGCCAATGCGGACTTGAGATCTTTTGCTTAGGTAGTTTACATGTGTTCATTCATTAAAACTTACAATTAATAACTCTGATAACTTTCCGCTAGTCTAACATATAACTAAGCTTAGAGCATTTCCGACTCAACACTTTCAATTAGAAGATAAAAATATAATTTTTTATTCAAAGAATTAATATAAAATAACTTAGTATTCACTCAAACACCCATCACAATTATCATTTTCTTCTCTAAAGATTTCCTTCCAAAATATTTTCATCAAAAAATGAATAATTTTTGTTCAATAATAAATATTAATTTTTTATTTTTTATTAAATATATTTAATATTTATGATTCACTTTTTTAATGATATATTTACATATTAAAAGTTATTTGTATTATAATAAAAAATATAAAATGAATAGTATTATGGAGATGCTTCTCTATTTCTCATACTCCCTCTATATTTGGAGGATCAATTCATCTGCCTCCCAAATGGAGATGATTTCTTCAAATATGAAGATATAGATGATGAGTTGGAGATACTCTTAAGAGGATGAGTCGAAGGCAAAATTTCTTCAAATATGAGTCATCCTTAATTTGTACCCTGCATCTTTACCATCCTCTAGTGTGTTTTGAGAAGTTGGTTAAAAACTAATTTTTTTATATTTTTTTGGTCTTTTTGTGAATACAAAATGTGAGAAGTGATGCGATTCAAAATGGGTTAAAAGCCAAAAGCTGACTTTTAACAGTTTCTCAAAGTGCCCCCTCATTCCATTCATAATTCTATACCAAATTTTTTTATTTATTAAATTTGTATCAAATTTATTATTAAATCAAGAAAAAAATAGTTTATGAAAGAAAATTTTGGAGATAAATTTAAAATTTTGAAGTGAGAATTGGAGCATGTTAGGACCCTTTGTTGTCAAAATCCATGGAACAAAACCAAGGTTGTAACAATTTATATTTTTTTCCAGATTTTCCAGTTTTGGTCTCCCCACTCGAGCGGGAAAAGTAACGCTCGAGCGGAGTTTGCACTCTCACAGCATCTCTACGTCACCTGCACAAAATACTGGATGTGTTGATTCTACGCTCGAGCGTGGAAACTTCCGCTCGAGCGTGAACCCTGTATGAATCACGGAATATGAAGTCTCCGCTCAAGCGGGCATTCCCACGCTCGAGCGGACCGCGCGATCTCAGATTCTATATATTCGCGTGTTGGCTCAATTCTAGGGTTACTTCTCCTAGATCTTGTTTAAGGTTTTTAGGGTTTTGTTTGAGGTTTTGATCTGGAGTATTTGTGAAGTTTTCCTTGATGTTTTGAGAGAGTTCTAAACTAATGATCTAAGATACATACATCAAGGAGTTTGTTACTTTGTATTCTAGAGAGTTATTCTTTGGTGGATTTTGAAGATTCAAACGTGGAGTTTCAAAGGAGGTTGATTTTGTACGTAGTCGTTGATTCGACAAGTGAAGTTGTGGATTCAACTTCAGATTGATCAGTTCCGAGACGAAGGCTTGGTGAAAGAGTTACAAAAGGTTTGAAGACAAATTGACTGAGTTGGGTAATTTGTGTGTTATCTTTATAATCTTTCTTTCTTCAGTAGTGGATTGATTAGTGGCGGTTTGCCCATGGTTTTTTATTACAATTGAAGGTTCTTCAATTGTGATTTTTTCCACGTAAAAATCATTTGTGTCGATTTATTGTTTGTTCTGAAAACAACAATCTAAATCACTTTCGTAAGTGCTTGATGATTTAGATTGTGTGTTTTGAATAATTAGGAATTGGAATATTTTATTATTGATCTAATCACGAATCACTTAGGATTTTCAATTGGTATCAGAGCGGGTCACTCTTGTTTTTATCAAAACTATAGGAGTGTGATTTTGTGTGACTAGTGATATGGATTCTATTCGTGAAGGTAACTATACTCATAGACCTCCTTTACTCGATGGTACAAACTATTCTTATTAGAAAGCTCGTATGAGAGCGTTTTTAAAATCCATCGATGAGAAAGTTTGGCACTAC